CTTGAATTATTTACTCAGCATACAGACTGACTAAGTATGATGAAAGAATACAACCCAGGTGTACAGTTTTCCTAATTTTAAACCATTCGGTGTTCCCTTGTTCTATTTGAACAACTGCCTCTTGGTCTATGTACAGGTTCATCATGAGCACGAATAAGTGTTCTGGAATAATCATTCTCTGCAACGTTGTCCATAGCATGCCATGATGCACACTATCAAAACCCTTTTCATAGTCAATACAGCATACATAAACAGCTTTCTGATATTTTCTGCTTTTAGCCAAGATCCATCTGACATCAGCAATAACATCCCTCCCATATCCTAGTCTGAATCCAACTTGAATCTCTGGCAGTTCTCTGTCAATGTACTTTTTTTTTTTTTAATTGTGAATTAAGTGGAAGTTTACAGGGCAAATCATCAGTTTTACACTAAAAATTCATACACCTTGTTTCATTACAATGATTATAATCCCCTCCATGTACCATCAGTTAACAGTATTTCTCTCTATTCGTTTTAGCTCCTTTTTTTTTAAGGAAAAAAATCAACAAAACAAAACACTCAGACATATATAATAATAATTTACATCTCTAAATAGCAGATTCTGCAACTCAGCCTCCTGGCCACCAGCTCTTCGTCCCTCTCTTCCAATGAATCTAGAGTCCTCAGCCACTCCCCCTCTCCATGACCCCATCTCTGCTTCCGTCTCTGGTGTTGCTGCTTCTCTGGATAAGGTCCTGCATTCTGCTTGGCTCTTCCTCCTTGATGGTTCTGGGGTCCTCTGTTTCTGGATTGTAAGATTAGCCATGCCCCTGTTTCTGTTACAAAACTTCTACCTTTACAACTGTGACAATCACAATTAGTCATGATGACAATTATTCAATATTGAATCATACGAATCCTTTCCTCATCTCTTTTAACCAGACCCATCTAGACAAGATGAAAACTATTCAGTGAGTACTCCTTCTACCGGCCCCCCACCCCACACACACTATTAAAATATACTCCCTCTTGAAACCTTGTAAGCCAGTCACTTTGTGCCTTTATCACCCCCTCCTTTTAGGTAGCCAATGTCTAAGTTGCCCGTCCCTATCAGTGCTGTGTACAGAGGGGATAGCATTGATACTTGGTGTGAAGACTCCTTCCTTTGCTGTTGGTATTTAGAGTTACTACCTCCATGAGTATAAGGAGCTCTGGTAGCGTAGTGGTTACGAACCGGGCTGCAAACTGTAAGGTCAGGAATTAGAAACTACTAGCTGTTCCGTGGGAGAAAGATGAGGCTTTCTTCTCCTGTAAAGATTTACAGCCTCGGAAACCTTGTACAGGGTTGCTATGAGTTGGAACCAACACCACGGCATATAACAACAACAACAACCCTTGTTTCCTTTATCAAATTTTTTTTTTTCTGTAATCATCCTCTAGTCAAGTTCTGATTATCAAACCATTGAGGTTAGGTCAAATGGTTACTGTCTGCAAGTTTGGGTGTTCTTGTGCATCTCCCCTCACTTCATATCAGCTTGATGCTTCACTCTCAGCTCTAGCCCTCTGTGGCTATGTCCTTGTCCATGGGCTCAAGTGTCCCCAGGTCTCACCACACTTTGGACCAACAAACCCTTCATATTCTCTCTCTCATCTCCAGGTCAATGGGAGTCAATGGACTATGGTTGAACTTAGCCCATTTCTTCATTGCTGCTTTTCCCCCTCTTCCGCTATGTGGTCGCCAGCAAGCTTACATTCCTGTTCATGTGTTCCTTTTTAGTTTCAGTCTTAGAGGGGAGTTTGTCCTGAAGGAACTTGACTGCTTGCCTTCATGGCTTCCTGGAGAACAGTGTGCTTATTCTTGCAGTAGTCAGTCATGTTGACATTTTTGTTTTGGTTTTTCCTGATGCTCTTTCTTTGAAGATATATCTTCTGTTGCTCTAGCTGTTCCAGGCTGGTCTGCTTGGTCTTGCTAGTGCAAATGTCCCACATCATAAGTTTCTGGATGGGACTCAGGATTTCACCTAAGGTCCTATACTCTGCAAAGGCTCCGCCAGAGGTCTATTTCACTCGGCAAGTTCTAAAACCCCTTTTAGGTATTCCTATCAGTTATAGGCTGAAGAAGAGCTTGTAAGTTTTCTGTAATCATGTTTCCCAACATTCCTTTCTATCCCACTCAAGTGCCTATTTTACAATAGTAGGCAAAGGAAACCAATATTCATAAGACAGTCAAGCATTTTAGTATTATTTCCCCTCCTTAAACTTTGCCTAGATCCCTGTATCCCAGAGCCTTATTGTTCCAAGGTTTAGTATGCATCACTATTTACCTCTGTCCCACTCAGGCCATGCAAACCTATCTCAGTGTTCCCTTATCTATCTTGTTCTTCCACCTCCTCTTCCTTCTTGTATTGCTCTCCCCAACACCTGAACTAAACTCCCCACCTTTATATTCCATTAACGCTTCCCTCAATTTAAGACAGTCTATTTTATCCTGTAATCTACCTGACCTTCTCACCACCTGGATCTCTGTTCCTCTGTGTCTGTCTTCTTTCACATTGTAATTGTTTTGATCATAGACTGACCTCCCAGATCCTCTGTTCTTATCATTTTATTCTGTTCTTGACTCTTCCATTTGTCAATTGAGTTCAGGATGATGCTACCATGTACATCATTCTTTGATTGTTGTCTGTTTTTGTTGGTTCTCAGTCCACAGAACCTCCTTTAGGATGTTTTTCATTGCAGGGTTGGCATTGGCAAAATCCCTTAGCTTCTGTTTATTCTGGAATGTTTTGATTACACCACCGTATTTGATTGACAGCTTTGCTGGGTAGAAGATTCTTGGGTGACAGTTGTTTTCCTTCAGGGTTTTATATATGTCTCCCATTGCCTTCTTCCCTGCATGGTTTCTGTTGAGAGATTCCCAGCTTAATCTGATTTGCTTGTCTGTGTATGTTACACTTCTCTTTTCTCAGCTGCTTTCAGGATTCTGTCCTTATCTTTGATTTTGGAGAGCTTGATTATTATATGCCTTGGTGACTTTCTTCAGATTTTTTTTTATCCTTTTTTGTTTTTGCTCTTCTGTCTTAGTAGTGTTGAGAGATTTATCTTCTAGCTCACTAGTTTTGGCTTCTATCTCTTCAATTCTACTCCTTTGCCCTTTCAGTGTATTGTCCATTTCTGATATTCTATTATTAATTATTTGGACCTCTTTCTGTAGGTTTTGAATTGTTCCCAATGCTGTATCTATCTTATTTGATTGTTCCTGGAGTGCTTTCCTGACTTCTCCCTTATTTTTCTCAGCTCCACTGTAAAGTGTTTTGATACATTTTATAATCATTTTTCTGAATTCCTTCTCAGGCATTTCCAAAGCCTGCCTTCCTTCCAGTACAGAGTATAGGTCTACCTCCAGCTCATTTGTCTCAGTCACTTTATCTCATTTCTGGACATGTGCAGATATGGTCATCTGTTTCTGTTTTGGGGGCATATTCAGGAGTTATCTGTGGCCTTAATACTTAGATGTGTGTTTATTTTGGTATTTTTTAAATGCTTTCTGATTGCCTCCGGGTAGGTGTGATCAGGAGATGGGCTTCCCTTTTCACTTCCTAAGAAATTTCAAGTTGCCACGTTGTGACATAACTCAGGATTTAATTTTTGGCCTATTTCCTTTTTAATCTGCCTATCCCGCTCCACAATCCCCATTCAGGCCTTTTCCTAGTGATAAACAGTTCAGGGTCAGCTCTGGCCATTTGGTTTTGAGTGGAAACTGTTACTTTAAATTTCAAGGAGATCTGTGTGAATGTGTAGTAGAACCCTCCAGGGGTGGGGGTAGGGTATCCACTCACTCAGGCACCTCCTCTAGTCACCAGAATGGAGGTACACAGACAGCGAGAGACCAATGAACAGATTTAAAAAAAAAGAATGTCCAGACCTTTATCTCTGCAGTTGTCAGGCATCCGTGTCTGCTCTGATCCTTCCCTACTTGGTCTCACCCAAGATGGTGTCTCTGGAAGCAGCTGGGCATCTTGAATTAGGAAGCAATGTATTTCTTGCTTCTGCTACCATTTCCCCTAGCTATAAGCCTTTCAACCTTCTAAATAATCCATTATATGTGGTTCAGAGAGTTCTGGCACCATCCCCTGAGCCTGCTTGGTGTGGTATTCTGTGTTGTTGCTGACGGACCTCCTCACTGCACTTCTACCCGATCTGCCACCTTATTTGTTCTCTGTCAATGTACTTTTTCAGTCATTAAAAAATTATCTTTAGCAAAGTTTTACTTGCATGTGATATTAATGATATTGTCTGATGATTTCTGCATTCCACTGGGTCACCACTATTTACAATGGACACAAATATAGATCTCTTCCAATCAGTTGGCCTGATAGCTGTCTGCCAAATTTCTTGGCATAAATGAGTGAGTTCCTCCAGTGCTTCATCAGTTTCAATTTATATTCCATCAATTTTCAAAGCCTCATTCTTGGCCACTGCCTTTAGTACACACTGGACTTTTTCCTTCAGTACCATTGCCTCTTCATTATATGCTACCTCTTGGAATGGTTGAACATTGACCATTTCTTATTGTTACAATGACTCTGTGTATTCCTTCCATCCTTTTTTTTTCTTTCAGGTTTTAAGATTTTTATTTGCATATTAAAAAACTGTGCATTCCAATAATTAAAATCATTTGAACAAAAAAATAGCACCCCGTTTAAACTGCATTTATGCTTACAGGACACCTTGGACAAGCTTTGTTTTCACTCTATGTATTCTATTCACTGTCTTCCCACCCAGCTCCTTCCTTCAACATGCAAGTTATTTTCCTTCCCTGCCAGACAGACAAGCCAATGGGAGCAGCAGGCGCTGCCTTCCTTGTCAGTAGTTATCGATTCTTTGATGTGAAAAGGGGAAGCAGTCATTTAAACTTGATCCAACCTCTCTGCAACTTACAAAGTTAACACAGCTAAAAGAAGGAAAACATGAAGGCAATGCTTGTGGAATGTACAGTGCATATTAGCAGCACCGCATAATTACGATTCACCCACTTGCTTCTGTTCGATCATTTCTTTTGAAAGCAGTGGATTTTTTTCTTGCATTTCTGTCTTCTTCAATTTCAACTTATTGAATTTCTCAATCTCAGCCTTATCAGGTTTGTCAAACATGGTAGTGGTAGAATCCAGAGAGATAAGAACGAGCAGTGTCCTTGAGCGCAGTGGCCCCTGTAGAGTCCCTTCCATCTTCTTTTGATGCTTTCTGCATCATTCAATATTTTGCCCATAGAATCCTTTAGTATTTTACAAATCAAGGCTCAATTTTTTTCCTCAGTTCTTTCAGCTTAAAAAATGCTGAACATGTTCTTCCCTTTTGGTTTACTAATTTCAGGTCTTTGCACATTTCATTATAATATTGACTTTATCTTCTTGAGCTATCCTTTGAAATTTTTTGTTCAGCTCTCTTACCGCCTCATTTCTTCCATTTTCTTTAGCATCTCTAAGCTGGAAAGCAAGATTTAGAGTCTCTTCTGACATTCATTATGTTTTTTTTCTTTCTCTCCTGTATGATGTTCTTGATGTCATCCCACAACTCTTCTGGTTTATGGCTATTAGTGTCTAATTCATCAAGTCTATTTTTGAGATGATCTTTAAAGTCAGGTGGGATATGTTCACGGTCATGTGTTGGCTTGTTTTATGACTACAAAAAAGTCTGCATGCATCGATAAATATCTTTAGATATGCCAAATGGGCCCCAGATGAGAACCATTGTGTTCACAAAGGAAGTAGCAAGTTCAAAGAGCTTTAGTAACACATCCAATGTCAGAGAAGAGTTAACAGTGACAATATTTAAATGATCTGACTATTCAATTTATATTCTTTAGTCTCAATCTTGTCTGTACATTAGAACATCTGGGGAGTTTTTGGAGTCTGTCTAGATCAAACAAATCAATTTCTCTTAGGTATACCAGTTGTGGTTGCTGTTGCAGTTATGTGCTGTCAAACAGAAACAATTCCTAATGAGAAATCACTGGTAGATTTGAACTTCTGACCTTTCTGTTAGTTGTCCAGTGCTTATTCTACAGTGCCACACCAAGATGCCAAGATTTATCAAGGTACTGGGGTATTTCTGAAAACTCCCATGGGTACCCAATGCCAGAGTACGGTATGCAGTGAGGTGAAGGTAGTCAGCAGGAGAAAGCTCAAATCTTAACCACTTCTCCATATTTTTTCCCAGCCTGTGCCTTAGAAAATCCAACATTCCAAATATTAGGTAGTTATGGGCAGTGCACTCTTATCTTAAGTTTATCATAAATCCCCCATCCTCTGGAAAACAAGGAGAGACTCTGAAAAGAGAACACAAGTTAGAACTCACAGTTCGATGATTTATCCACTGCTTATGGCGGTATTCCAAAGTCCCCCCTAGCTCCTGTGTGAGTTGGCTTTTGTCAATGTAACCATGAAGATCAGAAGCAGAATTTAGCATGATGATCTGTAAAGGGGGAAAAAAATTATATTCCTCACAAAAAATTAAGTAGCAGCTGATCTGGATTCTACTATCATTTTAAACAGTATTTCAACTTTGCCTTATCAGGTACTTATACTCAAAGATGGTTACTACATCCAGCAGAGACGTAGTTTAAAGGCCATCCCACTTCTCTTTGAATGGTGGATTCCAAAGTGCTATATATTCGGTCTGTAAGGTGGATGGCTAATCATTTCCCATCAAAGCTTTTGTAAGTTTGTCCTTGCTTGATAAGAAGAATGATTAGAAGCATTGTTGTGGTGGAGAAGGGCTTTCAAGTGAAGGTTTATGGGGAATTTTCTGCTGTAACTTTGGCTAAATTTCTCAAAACAATCTAATAATAAGCAACTGTTATTGTTCTTTGGAGTCCTGGTATGGCACTGTGGGATAAAGCACTGGATCACACGGTCCATGGTTCAAACCCACCAGCCATTCCTTGGAAACCTATACAGGGTCACTATGAATCAAAACTGACTCAACAGCACACAACAACAAAAATTGTTCTTTGGTCCTTCACAGACTCAGAAATTCAACAAGCAAATGCCTGAGCATCCTGGAAAACTACTGTCATGAACTTTGCTCTTAACTGGTCCACTTTTACTTTCACTGGACCACTTCCACCTCTTGGTAACTATTACTTTAATTGTGCTTTGTCTTCAGAATCATACTAGTAGAACCATAATTCATCTCTTCTTACATTTTTTTCAAAGAAATGATTCCAAATCTTGATTGTACTTGTTCAAAATTTCCATGTTCTTGTCTGCAGTTGATCTGAGCACAAGTTTTGTCATAACCCAAGGAGCAACTTTAATTTTTCAGTCAGAATTGTGCAGCTGAACTAATTGCAATGTCTGTGATGTTAGCTATTATTTCTGCTGTTAATCTTTGATACTCTTCAATTAGGGCACAGACAAGAAAAATCGTTTCCTTGCAATTTATGTGGATGATGTGACACTGTAGGTTTCATCTTCAACACTGTCTCATCCCTTCTTAAAATGAGTTATCCATCTGTAAGCTGCTGGCCTATTTGGAGTATTGTGGTCTGCAGTCCAGTGCTTATGCTACAGTGCCACACCAGGAGTCCAATTCTTCTTATAGTATGAGTTTATTTTGTACAAAACAAAATTGAAATCCATGTATACTTTTCTCATAGTATGCATTTTCTATAAACTTTTTGAGGACCCCTTGTACACATTTTAAGAAATTAGATTTCCCATAGATTTGTGCTGTGTGGTTATAATATAAGTTAGATTTTTTAGCTGGCCTCATACACCAGTGAATGCTTTTTGTTTTGTTTTGTTTTTGTCTTGCTTTAGATTCATGTTTTGTCTCAGTAAGTTTTGACTAACAATCATTAGATTTACTTTCTCTGAAGAAGCAGACTTTCTAGTCTTATGACTCAGGCTTTTCGTGGACAGAATGAGTAAATCTGGCAAAAAATCACTCATTTGAAAAGTACACTAAACAAAAGACAAATAATTGTTTCTTTTTGAATGACATAACAAGGACTTACAGAAACCATTCTAAATGACTTTCTCCAAAGAATGCTATGAAGCATGTAAAAGACAGGATGGATTGTGACAACATAATTCCTACCTCTAGATGGTATATTTAATTCCTCAAAAAACCTAGTTTGATTGTCTTAAAGAGAAATAAATATGAGGGGGCTTCAAAAAGTATGTGGAAAAGTTCCATTAACTTTTCATTCCATTTTCCATGAACTTTTTGAAGCCCATTTGTATACATTTAATACTCAAAATATTTCCAAGACTTGGTGAAAGTGAATTTTTTCTGTGAAAGATGTTTATGTTCTATAGAACACTGTCTTAAAAACAAAATGTAAGTCAACCAAAGTTAGATATTGTATGGAATACATTTTGTTTAGGGAAAAGATAGTGATTTTATCCTGAAATAAAAGAGGTTGGTTGTTCCATAATAACAAGGAGAAAGGTATGAAAAGAAGTTTGGGTAGATATAGAAAGTCAGAGGAAATTGAATGAAAGATTGAGGAGAAAAAGTTGTTTACCAAGAGAAAAATAAAGAAAAGAAATCGATTTTTAAAAACAGTTGAAGCAATTTAATATGGTTTGTCTTTTAAAAATATTTGTTGTTGCTAGGTGCCATTTAGTCTATACCTACTCGTAGTGAACCTAAGCACAACAGACCAAAACATTGCTCAGACCTGCACCAACCTCATTATCATTGCTACACTTGAGTCCACTGCTGCTGCCACTGTGCCAATCCATCTCATTGGGTGTCTTACTCTTTTTCACTGACCCTTATCTTTACCAAGCATGATGTCCTTCTTCAGGGACTGGTTCCTTCTGACAACATGTCTGAAGAATAAAAGATGAAGTCTGGCCATCCTGGCTTCTAAGGAGCATTCTGGGTGTGCTTTTCTAATACAGAATTGTTTCTTCTTCTGGCAATCCATGGTACTTTCTATATTCTCCTCCAACACCATAACTCAAATGCATCCATTCTTCTATAGTCTTCCTTATTCACTACCCAACTTTCACATGCATATGAGACTATTGAAGATACCATGATTTAAGTCAGGTACCGCCTTAATCCTCAAACTGACATCTTTGCTGTTGATCTTTCAAAAGAGGTCTTGTGCAGATTTGCCTGATGCTTTACGTCCTTTGATTTCTTGACTGCTGCTTCCATGAGTGTTGATGGTTAATACAAGCAAAATGAAGTCTTTACTCCATTTATCTTGATGTTATTTATCAGTCCAGTGGTGAGGATATTTGTTTTCTTTACATTGAGGTGCAATCCATACTGGAGTCTGCGATCTTTGGTCTTCATTAATAAGTATTTTAAGTCCTCTTCACTTTCAGCAAGCAAGGTTGTATCATCGAGGATTATTTGCTTAGCATAAGGACTGAATATGTATGGTAAAAGAATACAACCCTGGCACACACCTTTCATAGTTTTAAACCATTCAATGTTCCCTTGTTCTATTTGAACAACTACGTACAGGTTCCTCATGAGTACAATTAAGTGTTCTGGAACACTCATTTTCCATGATGTTGTCCATAGCCTGTCATGATCCACACAATCAGAAGCCTATGCATAGTCAATAAAGCACAGGTAAACATCTTTCTAGTATTCTCTGCTTTCAGTCAAGGGCCATTTAACATTAGCACTGATATCCCTTGTTCCATGTTCCCCTCTGAATTCAGCCTGAACCTCTGGCAGCTCCCTGTCAACATACTGTTGCAGCCATTTAAAAATTATCTTCAGCAAAATTTTACTTGCATGCAATAGTAATGACATTGTTCAATGATTTCTTCATTCCGTTGGGTCACCTCTCTTTGGAATAGGTACAAATATGAATCACTTCCAATCAGTTGGCCAGAAAGCTGTCTTCCAAATTTCTTGGCATAGGTGAGTGAGTACCTCCGGTGTTGCCTCTGTTTTTGGAAGATTTCAATTTGTATTCTATCAATTCCCAGAGCCTAGTTCTTTGCCAATGCCTCTAGTGTAGATTGGAGTTCTTCCTTCAGTATTATTGACAGTTGATCATGTGCTACCACTTGAAATGGTTGAACATCGATCATTTCTTTGTGTAACAGAAAATCTGCATATTCCTTCTGTCTTCTTTTGGTGCTTTATACATCATTCAGTATTTTACCCAAAGAATTCTTAAGGATTGCCAGTTGAGGCCTGAATTTTTTCCTCAATTCTTTAGGCTTGAGAAATGCTGAACATGTTTTTCCCTTTTGGTTTTTTAACTCCAGGTCTTTGCATATTTCATTATAATATTTGATTCTGACTTCTCGAGCTGCCCTTTGAAATTTTCTGTCCAGTTCTTTTACCGCCTCATTTCTTCTATTTGCTTTAGCATCTCTATGCTGGAGAGCAAGTTTCAGAATCTCTTCTGACAACCATTTTGTTTTTTTCTTTCTTGCTTGCTTTCTTAATGACTTTTTTTTCTTTTTTCCTGTATGACGTTCTTGTTATAATCTAAAACTCTTCTGGGCTTCAGTCATTAGTATGTAATTCATCTAATCTGTTTTTGAGATAATCTCTAAATTCAGGTAGGACCTGTACAAAATTAACTTCTTCTGTCCATATGCTTTGAAAACACAATTATTATCTAGCTAGATATGGGAATGGGGAGTTATAATAAAAGAGATTGCTGCTTGTTGATTACTGTAGAGTCAATTCTGACTCCCAGTGACCCCACGAGTGCAGAGAAGAACTACTCCACAAGACTTTCTAAACTGTGACCTTTCAGAAACAGCTTACCAACTCTATCATTTGAGAAGCCTCTAGTTGGGTTCAAACTGCAAATCTTTTGGCTACTAGTTGAAATGCTTAACTGTTTGCGCTAATATTATAACCATGTGTTGTTTAAAAGTTAGTAAAATAATATAACAGCCTGAACTTGCATTTTAAAGGCAAAAATGCTTTAGTTTGGTTATATGTAGTTTGGTAATCTCAAACTTTAACTACTGTGGGGCATCAGAGCTACAAAGAGCATGTAATCCTCTCTGTAATTTGAAATGATAGCCAATAGGATTGTATCTATTTTCTGGGGCTACCATAACAAATTATCACAACTTGGGTGACTTAAAAGGACAGAAATCGATTCTTTCATAATTCTGGTGGCTAGCAGTCCGAATGCAGGATGTCAACAAGGTCATGTTCTCTCTCAATCCCTTGGGGAAGAGCCTTTCTTCTCTTTCCCTGCTTTTGGTAGCCTCAGGCATTCCTTGGTTTGGTATACAGCTTTCAGAATCACTTCATCTTGGCCTGTCTTCATACATCTACCTTCCCTCTGTCTCTCAACTCCTTTTTTATAAGGACAACAGTCATATTATATAAGAAACCACACTACTGCAGCATTGTCTGATGTCAACATAACTGATAACCTCTTCAAATTCCCTATTTCTAAACAAGGTCTCATTCACAGGTAGGCCTTAAAGCATCTCTTTTTGGAGGACACAATTCAACGTATATAACAAAGGTAAGTTTCTTGCATAAATGAATACCCTATTAAGACTGCCCAAAGTTTGAGTGACCAAGAATTTTTTTTAAAGTTTATTTTATGTTTAAGATGAAAAGTACGGTGAATAGGAAATCAACATAACACCAGAGGAAAAGAAGCAGCTCTGTCAAGATAGATTAAATGCTCCTTCCGTCCTTGAAGTAGATGCACCACATGAAAGGCAGGGCATAAATAATATGCATCCATATACTTATCATCATGTCATGGGGTTATACATAGCTAGGGAAATATGCATCATATGTGGTCAAATGCTCAGCTCAAACTCCAAACTTTTTTGAGTAGCAAGGGACAATTGACCAGCCTTTATCTCTGATGGGGAGGAAAAGCTAATTTATGAGGATTGTGATTAACTCATTATCTTCTTGTAAGTTATTTCTTCCCAAATATTAATTGTTACTCAAGTGAGGATACCTGAATATGAAACTCATGGTTCATATTTTACTTAAAACACTCAAGTAATTTTAAATATTTAAAACAATTATAATCTATGAAGGCTTATTTGCAAGTTAGTTAAAACAAACTATTAAAAACTCTATTAAGCATTTGGGTAAAATTTGAAATCTAACTATATTTTATAATATCATGGAATTAATTATTGATTATTAATAAATAACAATCATTCTTTATTAAGCAAGAAAAATTAAAATGGCTCATTATTAATAAATCATCAGTGAAATATTAATATATTATGTATTGGCAGTGATTATTAATAAATAAAATAATTATTCTTAAGAGTAATTACTATTAAATATGAATTAATAGGTAGCAATATAAATACTTCAACTGGAATTGTGTCACATCAGGACTCCTAAGAAATATTCAACTGAAATTACTTGATGCCTCTAATGTGCTTCAGTATACTTTTAAGAGTTGATGATTGAGGATGGGGTGAAACAAGACTGATTTGGGGTAGGAACCGGTTGAAACTGGGAGGTAGATTCGTGGAATTTATACTACCATTCCCTTTACTTTATATATGTTTTGAGAATTGAATTGCTTTATATTTTTCATAATAAAAATAAAGTATAGTGTGTGTGTGTGTGTCAGGAGTCCTGGTGTGGCGATGGGGTTAATGCATCAGACTGCAAAGCCATCTGAACTGCAAGGTTGATGGTTCAAGCACACCAGCTGCTCCTCAGAAACCCTATACAGGGTAGCTATGGGTCAGAATCGACTTGACGGCATTTAATAACAACAACAACAACATGTGCTAATCAAGAACTCGGCTAGGTTCTAGGCAGACACATTTTATAACAGGACCATGTATTACCTACTGCAGTTAGCATACTGCTACATGCAAGATGAGGGTTCAATAAATGTTTGTTAGGTGACAGAAAACTAGAAGGAAAGAAGGTAGGGAGGTGAGAGAGCGGGGAGGTAGACAGAGGAGGACAGGTGGAGAGAGGAGAAGGGAGTAAGAAGAGAGAATAAGGAGACAGGAATCAAACTTAATGCAGACAAGATGAAAGTTCATGCTTACCGGCACTTTCATTTTAAATTCATCTCGATAGTATTTAATACCGATGTCAGTGAAGGCCCTCTGGATAAAGCGAGATGGACGAAGGATGAATATAAGCTGCAAGTTCCCTGGAAATGCTACCTGGAAGGATCACGAAAAGTGTCAGGGGGAAAGAGCAAATGTCACATCCATTGCCAACATCTACTTTGGTCTCTTCTTGCTCAAGATCACACATGGTAAATTCAAAGTGTCAGAGCTGGACAATACCTCAGAGGTCAGGTAATCCAAAGTCCTCCTTAAAAATCAAACCAAACCAACCTAGTAAATGGGAAATATTGCTCTTTTCCTGATTTCAAAAATAATTTATACTCTTTAAAGAAAACTTGGGAAATTAGTAAAGCATGCATTTGAAAAAGGAACCCCATTTTAATATTTCTATTTATTTACTTCTAGGTTATTTTATAATGACACTATACCAAAGAAATATTTTTTTTTTAACTTTTCTTTTCACTTAATATCATATTAATGAACTTTTACTCATGCTAGTAAAATTCTTTGGAAATATTCTTTTTGTTGGGTGTACAATTCCTTCAACCCATTCCTTATTACTGCTTGTCCATATTTTTACTACAAGTAGTCTCAGACCTACAATGTATTCTGATTCATTAGGATGGGAATGAAGTCTGGATAGCTGTATTTTCAATAAACAGTCCCTACCTGAAGGATAGTCATTTTCAAGAAAGTGATGCAGCACAGGAGGCACTCACTCATCTCTGCCAAGAAATTTGGAAGACAACTATCTGGCCAACTGATTGGAAGAGATCCATATTTGTGCCCATTCCAAAGAAAGGTGACCCAACAGAATACGGAAATCATCAGACAATCTCTTTGATATCCCATGTGAGTAAAGTTTTGCTAAAGGTAACAGAGAAACAGTTACAATCATACACTGACAGAGAACTTCCAGAGGTTCAAGCAGGATTCAGAAGGGACCATGGAACAAGGGATATCATTGCTAATGTCCAATGGATCTTGACTGAAAGCAGAGAATATCAGAAGATGTTTACCTGTGCTTTATTGACTACACAAAGACTTCTGATTGTGTGGATTATGACAAACTATGGACAACATTGCCAAGTATGAGTATTCCGGAAGACATAATTGTGCTTATGAGGAATCTGTACCTGGACCAAGAAGTAGTTGTTCGACCAGAACATGGAAACACTGAATGTTTTAAAATTAAGAGAGGTGTGCAACAGGGTTGTATTTTTTCACCATACTTATTCAACCTGTATGCTGAGCAAATAATACGAGAAGCTGGGTTCTATGAAGAAAAACGTGGCACCAGGGTTGGAGGAAGACTCATTAACAAAACTGCGATATGCAAATGATACAACCTTGCTTGCTCAAAGTGAAGAGGACTTAAAACATTTATTGATAAAGATCAAAGAGCTCAGCCTTTGGTATGGATTACATCTCAATGTAAAGAAAACAAAAATCTTCACCAATGGACCAATAACACCATTCTTATCAACAGAGAAAAGATTGAAGTTGTCAAGGACTTCATTCTTCTTGGATCAACTATCAATACTCACGGAAGCAGCACTCAAGAGATCAAACGACGTATTGCATTAGGCAAATCTGCTGCACAAGACCTTTTAAAAATGTTGAAGAGTAAAGATGTCAGCTTGAGGACTAAGGTGCACCTGACCCAAGCCATGGTATTTTCAATAACCTCATATGTATGCCAAAGCTGAACAGTGAATAAGGAAGACCGTAGAAGAATTGATGCCTTTGAGTTCTGGTGTTGGAAGAGAATATTGAAAGTGCCATGGGCTGCCAAAAGAACCAGTAAATCCATTTTGGAAGAAGTGCAGCAGAGTGCTCCTTAAAGGCCAAGATGGCCAAACTTCGTCTCTCATACTTTGGACATATTGTCAGGAGGGAGCAGTCGCTGGAGAAAGATATCATGTTTGGTAAGGTGTAGGGTCAGAGAAAAAGAGGAAGACCCCCAATGTGATGGATTGGGCAAGTGACAGCATCGATGGATTCAAGAGTGGCAACAGTAGTGAGGTTGGCCCAGGATCGGGCAGTGTTACGTTCTGCTGTACATAAAGTCACTCGCTATGGGTCGGTACCAACTCAATGGCACCTAACAACAACAACAACAACCTGAAGGATGGGGATTTCTGACAGACAGTCATATTTGAGGATCCCTGTACTACAACATCTTTTATCCACAAAGGCACCAATATAATTCTGGGACAAATTAGACTTTGACATTAGGCAATTCTGGTATTATTATGGACTCTAGAAAACCAGAACTCCCTAGGGTCCAGACCTCTGGAATAGTCATAAGCTATTCCAAAGACAAATATTTTAGCCACAGACAAATATTTTAACCACAACTAAATGAAAGGAATAAAATCATCCAGACCTAAGGGAAAAGGTGTCCACCCTCTTTCCACCTTTCAAATGCAAGATCCGGAAGAGAAAAAGCTTGTATGTTGCTATATCACCACAAGATAAATGAGTTCTGACACTATTCCTGTATCAGAATGAGGCTCTAAAGTTATCTCAGAGAAATTGTGTGTGCATGCCTGTATGCATGACAGCTTCTCTAAGTGGGTGTGAATGAGACTTCAAATGTTCCTCTCCTATCCTAACCCCTGTACATACATTCCCCACTCCATGCTTTTCAGTCAGCACCAATGGTTCCATCAGGTGGGACTAGCTGAGAGATCTCTGCCTGTCATGTGACTGAGTTCACAAGTCTGAGACCTCTACAGCAGAATGATGCATCTGACTGCTGAAAGGCAGCTGTCAGGGACCAAAGGAGACTAATGAGATGGAAAAGAAAAACATCTGAGGTTGCACATTTTAAATGCTAAAAGCAGGCACACCTTAAATCAGGCTCCTTGAATATCATTTAATCTGAATTTGTCACTATCTTACTAACAAGTGAGAAAATAAGTTGACAACTGAAAGGAAGACTATTTAAAATTCAGTTACCCCCAAAGCAAACTCTAAGACAAGAATTTAGGTACAGGTAGTTTATTTGTGGGGTGAGCCTAGAAATCAGAATGAGACAGCATTGCTGAAGAGTTAATACATCAATATAGGGGTTATTGTTGCTGGCAAGAGGGGCAAAGACTCTCTGAGATATTGTGTGGAATGTGCTTCAGAGTTGTCCCATGGAGGGACATGGAAGCTGGGGTATTTATCCACTACTTCCATAACTCAATGATTGTGGGTCACTCCTGGGGCATTGACTTCCCTGCCTGCCCTTTTTTAGTGATCAGAGACATCAACAGGGTAGAGAGACTCAGGAAGCCTTTGACATGCTCAGGAATGGTTTGCAGGTGATCTTCCTGTGGTAAAGGGCATGTGGGTAGGATAGCAACAGCATCTATTAAAAAGACCTTCCCAAAATTGAGCATAAAACAACTGTTTTTGCTTTGTGCACCTATTTCCCCAGGAATCTGATATGAAATAGTTGAATAAACAATTTAAATGACTTTTATAATAATATATTTTTATAATAATACACAAAATACATATTTACAGCTATTCGTGTCAAGGATGCCTTTATGGAGCTCCATTTGTCCCTTCGTCTGTCAATAACGATGATGAATCCAATGTTGGCGGCCTCCACACTGTAAAAAAGAGTGGCTAGTGTCAGAGATTAGAGAAGACACATGGGTTCTGTATGGTTCTCCCAGCAGAATGCATTCTACAGCCTCCAGAGCACTCTGGGCTCACTGTGTAAACACCGTTTACAGCAGAAGGGAATAACTGGTCTGAGTTCCCTGACAAAGGAACCAGCTTCCTCATACTTTGAGCCTGAAGGAGCGCAGGTACTCATGCATGAAAAAAGATAAACATGTCAGCAGAGCATGATCTATCCCAAATGTAGACAAAAAGACCTCAAGGGTGAACTCTGTCGTCTTTCTAGTTCCAAAGCTGAAATCCTATGGAATCAACACCATGGAAGCAGCAGTCAAGAAATCAAACATCATACTGCATTGGGCAAATCTGTTACAAAGCACCATTAAAGTGTTAAAAACCAAGATCACACTTTAAAGACTAGGGTGTGACTGAACCAAGTCACAGTATTTTCAATCACTTCATATGCATGTGGAAGCCAGACAATTAACAAGGATGTCTAGAGAAGAATTAATGCATTTGAATAATGGTATTGGCAAAAAATAATAAACTGAACTGCCTGAAGAACAAACAAATATGTCTTTGAAAAAGTACAGTCAGAATGCTCCTTAGAAGCAAGGATGGCAAGACATCATCTCACATACTTTGGACATGTTATCAGGAGGGACATGTCCCTAGTGAAGAACATCATGCTGGGTAAAGTAGAGGGTAAAGTAAGTGAAAAAGAGGCAGACCTCAACAAAATGGATTCACACAGTGGCTGCAACAATGGGCTCAAACAGAACAATTGTGAAGATAGTGCAAAATAGGGAAGAGTTCTGTTCTGTTGTGCCAAGAGTTACTACATAATGAGTCAGAATTGACTTGATAGCATCTAACCATAACAATAACTTCCTTCTCTAGAAGTCAAGTCTCCATTACTCATCTATCAGTGCTGGCTTACAAGTTGCTATGATACTGGAAGTTACGCCATGGGTATTAGAAAAACCAGCAGGGTCATCCATGGTGGACAGGTTTTAGCAGATCTTCCAGACTGAGATAGACTAAGAAGAAAGAAAGCAGACTACTTCTGAATGTTTAGCCACTGAAAACTTTGTGAAGAGCAGAAGAACATTGTCAGATATTGTGCCGGAAGATGAAGACATTATGAATAGCACCAGAATATTGTCTGATATAGTGCCGGAAGATGAGCCCCTCAGGTTGGAAGACATTCAAAATATGACTGGTACCTCCTCAAAGTAGAGTTGACCATAATGATGTGAATGGAGTAAAGCTTTTGGGACCTTCATTTGCTGATGGGGCACAACTCAAAATGAGGAGAAACAGCTGCAAACATTCATGAATAATCAGAACATGAAATGTACAAAGTACGAATCTAGGAAATTAGAGATTGTCAAAAATAAAATGGAACGCATAAAGATCGATACCCTAAACATTAGTGAGCTGAAATGGATTGGTATTGGCCATTTTGAATCAGACAAACATACGGTTTGCTAAGCCGGATATGACTAATTGAAGTGGAATAACATAGCATTCATGGTCAAAAAGAATATTTCAAGATCTATCCTGAAGTAAAGTGCTGTCTGTGATAGGATAATATCCATAGGACTACAAGGAAGACCAGTTAATACCACTATTACTCAAATTTACACACCAACTACTAAAGCCAGTGACAATGGAACTGAAGGTTCCTACCAGATGCTCCTCAGAAACCCTATACAGAGTCACTGTAAGTTGGAACCAACTTGACGGCACTCAACAACCAACATTGATCTACCATGCAATCAAGATGCATTGATAATTGCCGTTGATTGAAATGCAAAAGTTGGAAACAAAGTGATGGAATTAGAGGAAGACTCATGAACAGCTCTCTTCCAAATTTCTTAGTATAGGCAATTTAGCAGCTCTGGCACTGCATTACTTTGTTGAAATAATTCAGTTTGTATTGCAGTCATTCCAGAAGCCTTGTTTTGTTGCCAGAGCCTTCAGTGCAGCTTTGACTTATTCCTTCAATGCCATCAATTCTTTATCATATGCTACCTCTTGAAATGATTAAACATCGATCATTTCTGTTCCTTCCATCTGTTTTTGATGCTTTCTTCATCCTTTAATAATTTTTCCATAGAATCCTTCAGTATTGAAACCCAAGGCTTGAATTTTTTCCTCAGTTCCTCAGCTTGAGAAATGCTGAGCCTTTTCTTCCTTTTTGGTTTTCTAACTCCAGGTCTTTGCACATTTCATTACAATACTTGATTTAGCATTATTGAGCTGCCTGTTGAAATTTTCTGTTGAGCTCTTTTACTTCATCATTTCTTCTGTTGCTTTGGTATCCCTACACTCAAGAACAAGATCCAGAGTCTATTCTAACATCCATTTTGGTCTTTTACTTTTTTCCTGACTTTTTAATGATCTCTTGCTTTCGTCCTGTATTATGTTCTTAATGTTATCCCACAACTCTTCTGGTCTTCAGTCATTAGTGTCTAATGCATCAAATCTGTTCTTGGAATGGTCTCTAAATTCAGATGTGATATACTCAAGGACTTATTTTGGATCTTGTGGACTTGTTTTAATTTTCTTCAGTTTCAGCTTGAACTTGCATAGGAACAATTGATGGTCTGTTCCACAGTCTGTCCCTGGCCTTTGGCTGATGATATTGAGCTTTACCATCATTTTGTCTCAGGATGTTGTAGCTGCTGTTATGTGTTGTCAAGTCAGTTCCAACTCATAGCAATTCTGTATAGGGTTTCTGAGGAGTAGCTAGTGGGTTTGAACTGCCAACCTTGTGATTTGCAGTCCAGTGCTGATCCTACTGTGCCACACCATAGATGTGGTGAACTTGATTCCTGTGTATTCCATCTGGTGAAGTCCACATGTAATAACCTTCTATGTTATTTTTAAAAGGTATTTGCAGTGAAGAAGTCATTGGTCTTAAGCAATTCTATCATTCAATCTCCAGCATCATTTCTATCACCAAGGCCTGCCTCTTTGTGCCCAACTTTTGCTTTCCAATTACCAGTAATTATCGATGGATCTTGATTGCAAGTTTGGTCAATTTCAGGCTGAAAACAATGGATAGAATTCTTCAATTTCATCATCACTGGCTTTATTGGTTGGTGCATAAATTTGAATAATAGTGGTATTAACTCATCTTCTTTGTGGCAGTGGTGGTGATGGTATGTCTGGGAATTGGTTCCCACTCATAGCAACACTACAGAGGGCTTCTGAGGCTGTAAATCTTTACAGGAGCACAAAATCTCCCCTTTATCCCATGGAATGATTGGTACAAGGTCCAGTCAAAAATTACCCACACTCCAGCTGTAGAATTTAATCAACTTTTAGAAAAGACAATGCACCACTTTTTTTTTTTTTACATAATCTCCTTGCTTTTCAATACAGTTTGCCCATTTGTCAACAAACTTTCATATTACCTTATTAAAAAAAAATTATGCTGCCCTGTGAGCTACAAATAAACCATTGTCTTCACTTGATCAGAGGTGAATTTTCATCCTTGAAGGGCTACTCTCAAGGGACCAAATAGGTGACAGTCCGATGGAGCAAGATCAGGACAATAAGGAGAATGTTTTAACATTTCAAAATGAAGTTTTTGCAGAGTGTCAACAGTGTAGGCAGAGGTGTATGGATGTGCATTTCATGCAGGAGCACAACACCCTTGGATAGCAGTCCTCTGCATTTAATCCAGAGTTTAGGCTTCAGCTCTTCAGTGAGCATCGCACTGTAATAAGCACTGTTTGTTGATTGTTAAACTTTTTTCCTGATAATATTCCAAACTTGGCCCTTGAGGGTCCCAGAAAACTCATAAGCATCAATTTTCTAGCTGATGATTGACTTTCTAACTTTTTCTTGGTCAGCAATTGAGGTTATTTCTATTCCATACTCTGCCATTGTTTCTCAGGATTGTAGTGATGAATCCATGTCTCATTATCAGTAATGATCTTTCTAAAGAAACTTTTACCTTCCTTCAAGGATCAGTCCAAATCTTGTTTGCAGAGATCCAAATACTACTGTTTATGCTCTTCTGTGAGCTGTTCTGATACCCATCTTGCACAAACTTTTTGAAACCCAAGTCTGGTATAGATTATTTCATAGGCAGAGCTATGGCTGATCTGCAAATGACTTGCTACATAATCTTCTGTCACTTGTCTAGTCGACAGAATCATTTCACGTGCATGCTCAATGTTATATAACTGGAGTGCGGCTAATTTTTTACTCACCCTTGTGGATTTGAATAGCTGACCTTGTGGTTAGTAGCTCAACACATAACCCACTAGGCTACCAGGACTCCTTCATCTTCTTTGTAGGTTTATGGATATTACCCTATCACAGACAGCACTGTACTTCAAGATGTATTTTGAAATGTTCATTTTGATAATGAGTACTATGTCGTTTCTTTTCACCTTGTTGTTCTCCACATAGTAAACCATAAGATTGTCTGATTCAAAATGGCCTGTTCATTTCAGTTCACTAATGCCCATGATATTAATCTTTAGGCATTCCATTTCATGTTGACAACTTATAATTTTCTTAGATTCATGCTTTGTACATTCCACATTCTATTAGTGGATATTTGCAGTTGTTTCTTCCCATTTTGCATTGTGCCACATCAGCAAATGAAGGTCGATAGTTTTGTTTCATTTGCATCATTAAAGTCAACACTACTTTTAGGAGACAGCTCTTCTCCACTTGCATTTTGAGTGTCTTCCAATTTAAGGCCTTATCTTCTGGCACTATATCAGACAATGTTCTGATGTTATTCATAAGGTTCTCAGTGGCTAACCATTCAGAAGAAGTCTGTCTCTCTTTCTTTCTAATTTGTCTTAGTCTGGAAGCTCCGCTGATACCTGCCCACCATAGGTGACCCTGCTGGCATTTAAAATACTGTTGGCATAGCTTCCACAACCACAGCAACATACAAACACCACAGTATGACAAACTGAAAGCCAACTGATGGATGATAAAATTAGTGGTCTGA